CTTCTCTGTGTTTATTTCGATAAACTGTTGAGCACTAAAGTTCAATAACCTTTAGCTGTAAATGTGCAGGGAGTTCCTGTGGATCCACAGAGAAAGGATCTTCAATTAACTTAAATTTAATGTTGTCTTCTCTGGACAGTGTCAGTCTTCTGTCAAACTCCTGGATCAAAAGTTTAATGTCGTTTAAATATTTTTCTCCTAACTCGGCATGCTTATGCAACAGAATATGTTTCATACATGTAGTAAAGTGGCACATTTCTCCTTTTGTCAGTTTGGCGTTCTGAAAGCCTTTACTGTTGCAAGAATGTGAAAAATAAGTTGACTTTTCCCTTGAAGCTGTACATTTAGTTCATTTAGATGACCTGTAATGTCACATAAAAAATATAAATCATTATTCCAAACTTCATTGTGCAGCTCTGGGAACTTTTTCGAGTCATTTCCTAAGAATTGAACAATTTCTTCCTTGAGAGCAACAAAATGTTGCAATACTCTTCCACGGCTCAACCAATGAACTTCTGTATGATAGAGTACATCGTTGCAGGTGGCACCAACCTCTTCAAGAAATGCTTGAAATGACCTATGCTTCAGTCCCTTTGAACAAATATAGTTTACAGTCGAAACTACCACTGACATTACATGGTCGAAATTTAAAACTTTGCTGCATAACACTTGCCGATGTACAATGCAATGACACTTGGTTATTTTTTTGTCAGCAAACTCTTCAACAAGAGTTACTGCACCAAGGTTTTTCCCGCACATAGATGGAGCCCCATCAGTGCAAATGGCCACTATATTTTCAAATGTTATGCCTAACTTTTCAGTTACACACTTGTTCACTTGATTTGAGATTTCTTTTCCAGGGGTTTGACCTCGCGCGGAGTACAAACCAGCCAGTTCCTCGGTTACTTCAAAGTTGTCATCAACACCTCGAACGAAAATTAGAAGTTGATTTGAAGTATCCTTCAAATCAGTACTCTCATTCTCTGCTAAAGAATAATAGCTGAATTTGTTTGCCTTCTGTTTTAACTGGTCACTAAAGCTATTGGCTATATCAGCTACTCTTCGCTGCACAGTCATATGGGACAAACTTATATTATTAAAAACATTTTTTTTATTGGGACATAATCCGGAAACTGCGGTTAACAAACACTTCTTTATGAAGTCACCTTCAGTAAAAGACTTCCCAGCAGCAGCAATTTC